CGGGTCTTCGGCGTGACGAGCCAACGCTTTAACCACTAGGCTACCCCACCGCCCCTCAAGTTTGGAACGTTCCAGTGATCGATATAGATGTAGGAGGGTAGCTTGATCCCTTCCCCACTTAGAATTGGAAACGACTTTCAACAAGTCAAGGGCATTTAATTTTAAGGGATTTCATATGTGGTAGAAACGTTAAGTGTGAGTCAAAAATAATACCCAAGAACTTGACCTCCTTCACAACTTTGATGGGTGTGCCATTTAGAGATAGTTCAGGGTCTTCGCGCGGTTTGTATTTACGGCAGAAATCTAACATTTAGTTTTGGATTTAGCCGTTTTCAAGAAGCCATTTATTTGTTTTGTTTATACACAACTGCAGTTGCCGTTCAATAGTATGCATATTTTTACCACGACAAGAAATATTAAAATGATCCACAAAAAGTGATCCATCGATTGAATCATTTAAAACCTTGGATAAACTGTTGATCTTGATACTAAACAATATGACAGACAAAATACTGCCTTGTGGGACACCCTGATCCTGATTGTAATGGTCAGACAGGGTTGAACCCACTCGGACTTGAAATTGCCTGCCATATAAAAAGTTGGCTATAAATTGAGCCAAACGGCCTCGTAATCCAAAGTCATGTAAATCTTTTAAAATCCCATGTTTCCATGTCATGTCGTATGCTTTTTGTAAATCGAAAAAGATCGACACTGCATGTTGTTTATTAATTATGGCATTCTTAACAAAAGATTCTAAACGCACTAAATGATCGATAGTACTTCTGTTTTTACGGAAACCACATTGTATATCTGTTATTAAGTTATTGGTTCCCAAGTACCAGGCAAGTCGATTGTTGATCATGCGTTCCATGGTTTTGCAAACGCAGCTAGTACGTGAAATTGGTCTATAATTAGAGGGATCAGTATGATCACGTCCAGGTTTAAGTATGGGAACAAGAATAGCATCACGCCATGACGAAGGAAATTTCCCTGACGTCCAAATAGCATCAAAAATGTGTAAGAGCGTCTCTAAACATGATTCAGGTAAGTGGTTCTGGAGTTGATAATGTTTGTTATCAGCTCCTGAAGCAGTATCGTGAGCCTGATCAAGTGCAGTATGAAGCTCATGTATCGAAAAGGTTTCGTTGTAATCTTCCCCATTATCTGAATTGAAATTGATAGCTTTTTGTTCTTGCTGGGGGGGTATTTTTGGAATTCAGGTACATAATTAGATGAGGAAGAATGTTTAGCCAACGTCTCACCAAGTATATTTGCAATATCTGATTTATTGGTCAATAATTGGTTCCCATAGATGGTGAATACTAGATTTAGTACCATTAACCTTGATTTTTTTTATCATATTCCACACCTCTGATATAGGTGTGCGCGAATTAACTTTGATACATAGTTTCGCCAAGATTGGCGTTTACTTTGTTTGAACGTACGTCGTGTTTTGGCGTTTAAAATTTAAATTTGTCCAAATTGTGGACCATAGGATGGCGACGGAAATAGTGCTCGGCTTTCTTTCGTGCCTTCCTAGCCTGTTTGCAATCATTGGTAAACCATGGTTTTCGTACGTTAGCAATTGCAGAGGACATTGGGATACACTCGTCAGCTATGTTATTTAGTTCATCTGAAAAACATTTTATGGCATCAGGAATGTCATTAAAAAGTTCGAGTTTTAGTTTGTCAGCACAAAGAGTTTCATATAAAGGCCAGTTGGCCTTTTTAAAGTTCCATCTTGATGATGGAGGAACATCAGTTGGATTCACGGGTTTTAGTATTGTTGTGAATTGTTCACTTCCACAGAGGTCGTCATGGACTGACCATTCAAATTCACTCAATAGGTTGGAGTCAGTTATTGACAAATCAAGAGCTGAATATGTTCCTGTGCCAAGATGTAGGTAAGTATTTGAACCGTCATAAATGCATAAATCGTTGTTTGAAATAAAATCCTCCAGTAATTTACCTTTGGTGTTTGTATTATTGCCATCCCAGAGTGGGTTGTGGCCATTTAAATCACCCATGATTATACAGGGTTTAGGTAGTTGATCGTAAAGAGCTTGCAGATCGCTTAGTTGAACAGCTGATGATCGCGGAATGTATAGAGAGCACAAAGTGAATGCAACGTGCAACGTAATTCGCACAGCAACGGCTTGGAGATTTGTTGTGAGTGTAACTGGGCTATGGATAACAGTTTGCTTCACCAGGATTGACGATCCACCAGTAGCTCAGTCACCCGGTGAAGAAAAAGAGTGATAAGCATTGAATTGACGTAGGTCAAAATTATCTGTCTGTTTCAGATAAGTTTCTTGTATGGAGAGAGCTGACGGCTGAAAATCTTAGATTAATAACTGTAAATCATTCAAATTATTCCGAAGTCCTCTACAATTTCATTGTATTATTGTATTATTGGTGAGGACTCCTTTTGGTGTTCTTCCACTATGATTTGTTTTGGACGTTTCACTGTTTTGTTTTGATTTGCTTTTTGCAGTTTGTTTGACAGTTGGTTCTGGGAAAGTTGACCGTGTCTGAGATGTATCTATTTCAGGTGATGTCGTTGATTGAGAAATACTTTTCGATGAGGCTGTGGTTTGTGAACTGCAGGTCACTTGTGAAGGCCTTGACTGGGCTTCAGAAGATAGCAAGGTAGGTGCAGAAGTCCTTGCCCATGTATAGTCTGTCTGACAGCCTACAGAATGACAAGAAATATGTTTTGGAGGCCTGAATAGATGCAGAAACTGCGTTAGAATATGTTGGACCTGATTGTTCTTGTGAAAGAACAATTTTCTTTGCCTCTGAATATGGTATATTACGCTGATGCTTTAATTGAGAAATTTTGAATTGAAGCTTCAAACTAGGACAATCCTTGGAAGAAGATGGGTGATTGCCAGAACAATCGACACAGGTAGGAGAAATGTTACAAAGATCACTGTCTTCACACTTTCCAGCACATTTGTAACATGCAGCCGGGTTATGGCAAGAGTTTGACCCGTGACCATACTTTTGGCAGGTATAGCACCTCAAGGGATTTCGGATAAATGTATCGACCTTCAGGTGGCAGTATCCCGCCTTCAGTCATGTTGGATGTACAGGAAGACAAAACGTGAACAAATAAGTACTTGTATTGATGGTCTCATTATTCCTTCTTGCAGTGAAGCGTTTCACATGTGTTACGCCTTGCGATTGTAATTCAGTCACGATTTCAATCTCGGTCATTATGCCTCTACTGTCATTCAATGTCCTTCGAGGGGACACCTCCAGAGGAACATTTGCTATGATCTCGATGAGAGCAGAATCTGAGATTGTAGGAGCTTTCGACATTCGATGAGCAGTAAACCAGATCTTATTTTTTTACTTTCCTTGACATCACCTGCCAAACCTTCGATTCCTTTCGCTACAGCAAAAGGATTTAGCTTAAGAGCTCCACCATCTGGTGCTGACATAACAAGAAAACGAGGCCAGTTGTCAGGGTTTGTGATAACTGCAGGAGCCTCATCCTCAGAAGAAAACGAATCTTCAGACACGTGAGAGAGTTTTTTTAGTGGGGGTGCATGGTAGAATATATATAATTCACCCTCCTAGCTCCCCACCCACCATGGAGTGTCAACAAGGACGATGCCTCATATCTATGGGTTTCCAACAGACGGCACCAAGGACACTAGGAGGGTATACTCAAGCAGGATGAATATCTTGAAAAGATATGTCCTACCAGATTGGCCCGTGAGCCAACCCTTCTGGGCATAGGACTCTAGGCAAATTGATAAATAAATACTTTGTGATTTGAGCATTTTATAAAAAAAAACTATGGACCGTGGTAACACCAAGAATGATGACAACTTAAGCCAAGACCAAAATATACATTTCTGAAAAATCAAACTTGTGCAAAAATTACTTACCATGCACAGGGCTTACTTACATTGTGACGTCACGCAAAATTGTTCGATTACGAGGGGGCAGACTAGAATGACGCAGTGACTCCAGTGCATTGTGACGTAATGCAAAAAGTGCACATTATCGTCTGATTAAGTACTGTCGGCGCCTTTGATCTTTCACCGAAGCATCTTAGAATTCTGTATATTTCTGTATAAGTGTATATTTGTATATGTCTTTATATTTATGAAAACAAATATATTTATTTATGTCTTCAGTAACCAGTAGAAGAGAAAATATACCAAATTGAATTGCTGAAATAACAAAATCAAGATGAAGTATAGTGTGTTAGACCGTTTGTTAGATCGAAACAGACTATACGTTAATCCCCTATTGTTATAGGGATTATCGCGCATCAAAAAGCGTCCGGCAAAACGGGAACCCCCCGTTGATATTTGTGTAACTGCTGCATTTGTAATGTTCCTGCACCTTCTCCATGACTCCAAGACATGTAAACATATTTCGTGGACTGTGATAAGTCATGTCTAAACTTATACAGCAGGCTTTAGTCAACATTGTGCTATTATGATCTTTCAAGTCACACCCTGTATTGAAATTTTGAATAGAAAGTTCTCTTTATTCAAGAAGTAGGTCGCACGCTCTTGCGAGTGCGGGCTTTTTTAAATCCGGGTGCATTCAGCGTTATATACAATACAGGGTGACTACCTCATCATTGCGCACATCATTTGAACTGTGCTTTACTTTCGTTTCATTCAAGATAGCATGAGTGCACTAGAACAAACACTGGTTCATTCAACTTTCTGACGTCCTGCACCCATTACCATCTGAATGCGTTTTCGTGCATATTTATGAGAATCAACCGATTCAACCAAAAGGGATATCTGCTCCTGCCCAATACACTATTGTTGTCAACTGGTCTTTTAACAGTTTTAACTGAACTGAGCAAATGCAAGGACAAATATGCATCATTGCTACATCACTTTTCATAGCGTATTTTACATTTCTTTAAAACATTTTCAAGCTTCTGTGCGGTTTTGGTAATGAGGAGTTGGTGTAATTACCATAGTGATGTCATTTCAGTTTTATTTAAACAGTGAACAACTCACTTTTCTCGTTGATAGTAACCCCCATTGGTGCATAAATGCCCGTTGATACGAGAATCCTTCTTCCCCAATCGTCCCTAACAATTTAATCATAAATTGATAAAAGGTTCTTAAGGTGCAAGTATTCGAATGACTAATTCAACACAGAAAATGTAACTTTAAGGCCATAGAGCTGTATCAAAAATATATTTCGTTAAAAAGACAATTATGAGTGAGTGAGTGAGTTAAAAGTTTACGTCACACCGGCAATATTTCAGCCATATCGTTACGACAAATAGGAATGTACTAAGAATAAACATATTTATACATTTTTAAAAACGTCAGCGAAGGACAGTATAACGACTTGATTATCACAAATTAATTAAAACTAGTTTGAGTTCAGTGTAAAATGCTAAATCATTTCAAAACAACACAATATATAAATCAGGCTATAAATCACCAGCAACTGAAGGTAAATCACCATGCTAGGGACCATGGGGACTTACATTACCTCTGCTACCTGTATGGGCTCTAGCTGGATTTACATCATCCCTTCAGCTGTTGGCGAATTTTCAGTATTTTAGCCATATATTAAAATGACAAACATTCTACGATTATACTTCTAGCAATGATCATTGAGTGAGTGAGTTTAGTTTTACGCTGCACTCAGCAATATTACAGCTATATGGCGGTAGTCTGTACATACTCGAGTCTGGACCAGACAATCCAGTGATGAACAGCATAAGCATCGATCTACGAAACTGGGATACGATGACATGTGTCAAATCAGTCAGCGAGCATGACTACCCGATCCCGTTAGTCGCCTCTCACGACAAGCATGGGTTACTGAAGATCAATTATAACCCGGACCTTCACGGGTTCTAGCAATGATCAACATACATTCAATGTACATTTATGTACAGACAATTATAAGAGCAGCATGATGACATTAGTTGTGACAAAATTCAACTGAATCATATCAATTTATTAAATTTGTATCTGAGTGTTATATTACGCCGCATTTAGAAAAATATGTCAGTGATTGATATCATGAGCATCGATCACATGACAAGACAACGATCACATGACAAGACAACGATCACATGACAAGACAACGATCTTGAACACCCGATCCCGTTAGTTCCCTCTCACCACAAATACAGGTTACTGAAGACCACTCCTAACCTGCATCTTCACAGGTCATAACATTTGTGACAAGGCTCAGAAGCAAATATACTGTGCGACATATATCAGATGCTTGTATTTTTGTTGAAACCTTGTAATGTTTTGGTGGGGTTGTTTTCTTTCTGTTTTCTTTTCTTTTTTTAATTTTGCTTTACTGAAACTTAAGGTATTTCAAAGTGAAAATAGTGTGCATAAAAACAATATTGTCCATGCATATCATTCTCGTAAAGAGTATTAGATAAAAATTAGGTAAACGATTCCCTTGTATACAGCAAGACCTGCAATGACAATATCTTAGCGTAGGTGTTACGTTGCAGCAATTATGAAGAATAAAAAATGTTCCTACCGGTCGGTTTTGTCTGCTATGATGCCTTGAGGGTAGGTAATATTTGAACTCACAATCGTTGTTCTTGCAAACCCATTCATATTGATGCTAACAATGACTTTATTTCCTCTGTCCATGTAGAAGATCTTGCCGGCACTACCATCAACAGTGAGACCTTCCGGGTAAGAAACTGAAATGTACGCAGTCGAAGAGATCGTATCATTCCTGAGTACAAGAATAGTTGGCACAAGAAGAAAACACTTATGGTTCATGTCACGAGGGAATTATTTCCATTTTTGGTGAAATTGTCCATGGCACGGCTAAGGTGAGAATTCTTTGATGAGTCCGATTATGGGTAGGTAAGTGATCTACTCTCGAATGTAAGTACCCAAGAGTCCATAACAATACACAAGTGAGTGCACCAGTGAAGATCCAGGTAAGAATTGGTCTTCAGTAACCCAAGCTTGTCGTAAGAGGCGATAAACGGGATCGGGTGGTCAGGCTCGCTGATTTGGTTGACACATGTCATCATATTCCATTTTCGTAGATCGATGCCCATGCTGTTAATCACTGCATTGCCTGATCCAAACTCGATTATTTACAGACCGCCACCATAGAGCTGTAATATTGCTGGGTGTGGCGTTAAACAACCAACCAACACAAGTTTTTGAATGACTATGGTTTATTTCCACATTGAGAAGTATTTCAGTATTAACATGGTGTGTCCTCTATCATGTGGTGAAAAGGCCAAAGTGATGCAAATCATTGGGGCTTACTGCTTTGGAGAAATCCTCGAAAAGACCTGACATACTTAGAAACCTGATCAGGGATATCTTACATGTGACTCTGTTAACAGCAAACACTCCCTTCATAGTACGAATTGTCTTAATTCTTGAAAACGAATTCACCTACTGCTGTTTAGCTTTGCTACAAGTGTATTATCTCCAGCAGTGAGATCAACACTCCGGATTTCCTCTCTGCTGATATCCGTCCAGTAGATTCGTCTGGTGACATTGTCATAGTCAATGGCTGTAGGGGTGGTGATAGAAGTAAGAGGGTGTCGTGTCAGCTTGTCGCCATAGAGATCCCATCTGTAGACAGATCCTGGGGTGAGAAGCGTGTGGCGTTCGGTCAATAAGATCACAACTTCTGGGTGACCTGAAAAACAACAACAAAAACAGCTTTTGGCGTTTAGATTTCACAACTTATGAGGTCCAAGCGAGCATACCCTTTATGCCAAGATTTCAAAGAGAATCATACGACTCTTGCTCAGGAATTGTTCGATCAAGGTTACAGCATTCAATACCTCAGTAAAGCTTTCAAAATGTTTTACGGTAGACACAACATTCAAACAGCGGGGAATTACACGTACAATGATCCCGCTTCGAGTCCCGACCTACCCAACATACATAATATAAACCATGTGGACTTCAGCGTACTCGTCAAAATGCCCAGGAACCTTTTGTATTGAGGTCATACGGTTTACTCCAGATGTGACGATATAGTTTACCTTATAGATATGTTCAGTATATCAGTAGTGTTTTATTTACGTTTACGGTAGGGTGATCTGTAAAAAATGTTGATTATGATGTATTCGATCAATAAAATGCTATGAAAAAAAGTATTATTCACAAGGATTGACACTATGTATCTATTGAATTGGGACGTCATATAATGTCATGTTTTGTTTCAACTAACATTTATTGTGTTAAAATAGGTGAAGCTGACAAAAGGACTCGAGTCACCATATCTTCAAAATAAAAAGTTTCGATATAAATTTACTGAAATGCAATGTACGCAACGGGGTTTCGCTTGCAGCAAATGACGTCCACAATTTGGGATCAATTTTCTACGAGCTTTTAACCTAATGGAACATTTGACTGTAATCATGGAGGCATAAATAACAGTGCTTTGATGAAAGTCCGCTGAGAATAAAGTGTTAAGATGTGCAGGATATTTTTGATGGCGGATTATCAGGGTCCACTGCACATGTATGTGCCAATAAACTCAATGATAGACATTTTCCTACTTGAACAGCAGGCACATAGTTTGAGTGTACAAGCATTACCTACTAAGACACATCAATTCTAATACTGAAACTACTTTCAAGAGTCTTTTCATATTCGCTTCAGTACAATAGATGTAAATTATGATTTATGGCTTTTCAATTATACCACATACTATGAGCATAAATAATTTTTACATCCCATTTATAAATCTTCACTGAGAGCATTTCTAATATTTTAAGGAATCATAGGAGCTTTAAAGCAGTTAAAATTAAAATTCAATACAGGCACTGATCTTCACTAATGCCGACACAGCTTTGAGAAACATGGTGATACAGATTGGTCTTCGTATATGTTTTCGTATTAAAACAATTGCTAGTTTTAATCAAAACTCTTAATCATGGTAAAATACTGTTGTAAGTTTGATGTCATTGACGTTTCCCAAATAGCTAAAAGGTAACAACTGTTTCTTATCATATTTTTTGATGTATCGACTGACAACCATAACAGAGTTTGGGTTCCTGCAAACGGTAATACCCCGAAAACATTGTTAGACTCATTGAAGCTAAAATTGATAGAACTATTACAGCTCTAGCATTGTAATAGCAAGATATGAATCTATACACGTATTGTATTCCATATGGTTGATAGAATCCAACTATATCACGAGCACGATCAAATAATGATGATACCAGAAGTAGTATATAGAATAGCGGTACGAGATCACTTTTGCCAAAAGCCTCTGTAAGCCTCTGTATTTCATAAATAAAGCTTTTATCAGGCCCTAATCTCGTACCGCAATTCTATATACCACTTTTGAATCCCCAGCCAACTCCCTGGTCACTATGACCGCGAGCCAACACTTTCCTGGTCACGTGACACTATTGTGTTGGCTTCTTGAGCGGGGGCAACATTGTGTCATGAGGTATGATCAATACCTCTGGCTTCCTGGTCATTATGACCGCGAGCCAACACTTTCCTGATCACGTGACACTATTGTGATCACTCGACATGGAGGTAAGTGTTAAATATTTTGAATCGCTACTTCTTGGGTGGTAGCATTGTGTCATGAGGTATGATCAATAATTCCTCTCTGACGAAACCTCTCGACAGCCCATCTTTCAAATAGTACGAGTTCGGTTTGTTGTCTTTGATGTCCACTTTATCTATGGTGTAAGTTTTGATCGACCATGTCGAGTCGGTGGCTTGTTTCCGAGTGTCTCCTTCGTGTTCTCCCGGCTGGTAGAGGTACCTCACAAGAACCCGGCCGGGTATTTGCTTCTCTTTTCCTTTACGCGATGGTGCAGCCGATTCAGCGTTCACTGATTTCAATCTAATAGCGTCGGCTGGGTTTTTATTGGTGAGACGAGTGATTTTGTGATTGATAGCCGACACCACTTGAGGTAGCCGTGCGACCCATTCGGTGTTGGGTTTATTTAGAGTTATTTCCTGCACGTACTGATGCACGAATAAGCGCTCGGCCAAAGACCTATTGAATCTCTCGACGATGGCTTGGCTGCGATGAGCTCAGGCCGCGGCACACCTGGCTCGGACGTCATGCTTGGTTAGTAGTTG